GAACAAGCAAGCAAGAGCTAGAGTTTGTGTGCTGGGGGTTCGGAGTGGGCTGCTGTGTGAGTGGTGTGTGTGTAGTCAGTGGAGAAGTTGCTGGGAGCTGGATTCTTGGTATCCGGTGGTGGAGCATTGTGGTCTGCATCAAAGTTGGGTGCAGATCAGTTTAAGAGCTCCCTCGCAGTCAAGCACAGAATGACTCAGAGTGGTGCCTTCTTTGCTCGGTGTCATTGAGTAGCACCAGGGGAGCTCTTAATGTGATCTGAATCTCATGCAGACCGCATTGTTTCTTCAACGAAGGGAGGGGGCAAAGAGGCAGGCAGAGAGATAGCAGTGAAACTACCACCAGAGCATCTGGTGGCCTGCCTGCTGAAGGGGTCTATCAGGTGGCCTACACACTTAGGACCACATTATGTGCATATGTCCTCAAGGGCCCAGTGGGCCTTGTGCTTGTGTGTGTGTGTGTTATGAAGGGGCGGCAAAATCGATCTTTTCCTAGGGCGGCAGAAATCCTTGCACTGGCCCTGTCTATGTGTGTCAATGTATCTGGATGTCTGTTTATCTGATTGTGTGTCAGTGTGTGCATCGGTGTGTATCTATATGTGTGTTAGTGTGTGTATCTGTAAGTCTGTCTATCTGCATGTGTGTGTACCTTTATGTCTGAGCGTCGGTTTGTGCATCTGTGTGTATATCTGTATGTGTGTCAGTATGCATTTCTGTATGTCTGTGTATCTCTATGTGTGTATATGTAAGTATGTGTATCTGCATGTGTGTCAGTGTGTGTATCTGTGTATCTAAGTGTCAGCTTGTGCATCTGTGTGCGTATCTGTATGTGTGTCAGTGTGTATAAGTTTTGTCTGCATATGTGTTTTGTGTGCATCTGTGTGTATCTCTATGTGTGTCAATGTATGCATCTGTATATCTGCGTAGCTGTATGTGTTTCAGTACGTGCATCTGTGTGTATATCTGCATGTGTGACAGTGTGTGTATATGTATTTGTTTCAGTGTGTGCATCTGTGTATCTGTGTGTCTGTATTTGTGTCAGTGTGTGAATCTGTGTGTTTGCATATGTATCTGTGTGTATCCCTATGTGTGTCATTGTGTGTATCTGTAAGTTTGTGTGTCTCTGTGTGTCAATGTGTGCATCTGTGTTCATATCTGTAAGTGTGTCAGTGTGTGTATCTGTTTGTCTGTGTGTCTGTGTGTTTATCTGTGTGTCTGTGTATCTGTATGTGTTTCAGTGTGTGCATCTATTTGAATATCTGTATGTGTGTCAGTGTATGTATATGTATATTTTTCAGTGTGTGTATATGTGTGTCTGTTTGTTTGTATGTGTTTCAGTGTGTGCACCTGTGTGTCTGTGTTTCTGTATTTGTGTCAGCAGGTGTATCTGTGTGTCTGTGTATCTGCATGTGTGTCAGTGTTGCTGTATCTGTATGTGTGTCAGTGTGTATATCCGTAAGTGTGTCAATGTGTGTATCTGTTTGTCTGTGTGTATCTGTGTGTCTGTGTATCTGCATGTCATTCAGTGTGTGCCTCTGTGCATCTGTATGTGTGTCAGTGCGTATATCTGACAAAAAAGTTTAACTCAGCTACTCTTTCAACTTGGCTGTTTTAGACAAAGAATTCTGCACTCTACCATTCATTTCTAGTGAATCCTGTGTACTTGTGTTAATTATTGTTCCAGAATTGTGAAATGTAAGGAATTCAAACTAGATTTAATAATTCAGGCCAAAATAGCCAAATGTAAAACTTTTTTTTTAAACCAGCATTTTATTTTTTTTAGTTCAGCTGTTTTGGACTTTCCAGCAATTAACATTGAATAACCCTGCTACTTTTTCTTTTACAAAAAGATAAATTTTATACAAAGTATGAAAAGGCATTTTTTAAGTTTCCAACAACTGTTTCTAAGTTACCGTATATACTCGAGTATAAGCCGAGTTTTTCAGCACACTTTTTGTGCTGAAAAACCCCAACTCGGCTTATACTCGAGTCACTGTCTGTATTATGGCAATTTACATTGCCATAATACAGACTGGGGGCTGGCAGAGCTGTTACTTACCTCTCCTGCAGCTCCTGTCAGCTCTCTCCTCCTCCGCGCCGGTCCGGTCAGCACCTCGGTCAGCTCCCAGTGTAAGTCTCGCGAGAGCCGCGGGGTCATAGTGCGGCTCTCGCGAGACTTACAGTGTGAGCTGAGAGAGGAGCTGCACGGACCGGCGCGGAGGAGGAGAGAGCTGACAGGAGCTGCAGGAGAGGTAAGTAACAGCTCTGCCAGCCCCCTCCTCCCCCCACTGAACTGCCAATGCCACTGGACCCCCAGGGAAGGAGAGCCCCCCTCCCTGCCATGTATCAAGCAGGGAGGGGGGACGAAAAATAAATAAATTAATAATAAATAATAAAAAATAATAATAAACAAAATAATAATATAACAAAAAAATGAACTAAAAACTAAATAAAATAATACATAAATAATAATAAAAAAATAAAAATAATAATAAAAAAATTATTAAAAAAATAATAATATAACAAAAAAAAATGTAAATAATAATATTTTTTTTTTATAAAAATGCCCACCCCCCACCAAGGCTCTGCAACACAAACACACACTGCATCACACACACACACACACTGCATCACACACACACTGCATCACACACACTGCATTCATACCACACACTGCATTCATACACACACACTGCATCACACACACACACACACACACTGCATCACACACACTGCATTCATACACACACACTGCACCACACACACTGCATTCATACACACACACTGCACTCATACACACATACACTGCATTCATACACACACACTGCACTCATACACACACACTGCATTCATACACACATACACTGCATTCATACACACACACTGCATTCATACACACACACTGCATTCATACTCACATACACTGCACTCATACACACACACTGCATTCATACACACACACTGCACTCATATACACACTGCATTTATACACACACTGCGCACTCATACACACACACTGTAAATAAATATTCAATTAATATAATTTTTTTTAGGATCTAATTTTATTTAGAAATTTACCAGTAGCTGCTGCATTTCCCACCCTAGTCTTATACTCGAGTCAATAAGTTTTCCCAGTTTTTTGGGGTAAAATTAGGGGCCTCGGCTTATATTCGGGTCGGCTTATACTCGAGTATATACGGTAGTGTTAATTTTTAATATAAAGTACATTCTAAATAAAATATTACAACAAGCAAATAAGAATGGCTTTGGACGTATTATTTGTAAAATATGAATGATTAAAGATACTGCTAGGAATAAGTTGACTGTTTCTTGCAAACAGAGGCTGCCTACAAATTTGGCATGTCTCACCCTTTGAGAGATGAGTGCTTTGAATGTCAAAGTCCCAGACCTCTTACAATCTGCAGATACATAATAAATGTGTTTCTCTGCCCACATGTTCTCCACAGAGTGGCCTCAACCCCAGCATGTAAAGTAAAAGTGCCAAGCATTGGCAGAATGATTGCATACCACCTACAAATTAATGTAAAGAGAAAATATGTACGGATATATATATTGTAGATATATATATATATATGTAAAAGTCCATAGGCCTGAATTTGTGGGAGGTGTTTTCCCTATATAAACCCTACCTCCCTACTTACCTATGGCGGTTCCTGATTAGAGTGACCCCACCCACCACTCCCTCATATCTTATTCTATTAAATTACCTCTGGTGGTCCTCTTTATTACAGGCCTACCCGTATGTTGGTTTTGGCACACCACCACCAACTTTCCCCCTCTCCTCTATTGTATATACAAGTTCTAACTTATCAATATATATATCTACAATATAAAATATATTTACACTCCCATTATTCTCTCTCTCTCTTATATGTATGTATATATGTATGTGTATGACACCCCAGCCATAACATGATATGTTTTTTAGGTTCAGAATAGCTATACCCTACACTATTTTTACCAATAAGGACTCAAACCTTACCTATTAGCCAGACTTAAAACTATGCACACCACCACTATGCACACAAGCACCATTTTTACTTATTCCTGTTTTACCTGCTACATAGAATGTCAGTGGTTGAATGGTGATGTAAACGATTGTGTGTATAAAGGTAAACATATATAAAGATGTCTGCAAGTAAATGGTGGGATGTGGGAATATATGTCTGTATGGAGGATATATGTCTTCAGAAATCACAGTATCTGTACATATATATCCATGTAATCTCCACGATAGTGCATGACATTCTTTGGCTTTCATTCTTATATGTCAGTATTTCTCTTTCTTCCTCTGTCTCTGGGTCCCAGTATTGCCTCAAAGTGTTCCTGCTATCTACCCAGCCTTTATGTCAGTCAACCACATGCTTTAGGATAGATCCCATTATTTACTTTCCTTTATTACAAGCATTCTCTAGCCTCCTCTCAATTTATGGCTGTCATGTGATCTGCTGTTACCTTGTGTCATTCTTACATGGTCTATAAGGAGCAACAGTGGACATATCTGCTGAACTCATGGAGAGAATTAGAAAAATAGAGTCGAAACAGGCAGGCTGTGAGTTACAATGAAATGTCGGGCTTTGACCAACTCCCCTTTTTGCCCTGCATTAAAGATATCCTGATTGGTTTTTATGACAGATGTTTCTACTTACATAACTCCATCTTGCTCTAATTTCAGCCAAACCGTTAACGTAAATGAACTTCCAATTTTCAGAACAGAAGTTGTAACAAAACAGTCTTTGTGATTGTAAAAAATAAAACTTGTTGAATTCCCATGAGTTCCAGGGTGAAGGTCAACTTTGTCCTTTTTAAGGCATGTTCCAGTGTTGAAGAGAAGGAGATCATGGTACCTTGGAGAGTTTGATCTATGGGGACACTCTTGAACACACAACCGTTGAATGCATGCGTGAATTGTTTTAATGTCAGTATCACTTTGACAAAAGACACTTCGTTCTGGCACACCACATGTTGCTTCAAATGGTTCAGTGGCAACAGGAACAAAAGCTCCAATGTTCTCAAGTTTTGGAAAATAACCTTGTGTGGTAACAGCTGGTAGGTAGCTATAAGAAAATATTATTAATGATGGCAGAACATGAATCAACATGCCAAGTTCTCTGAACCAAACAAGAATCTCCATTTTATGGGCATTTAAAAAAGTCAGGCATTAGGTTGATTGGTAGCCCATATTCAATGGTCTGAAAAGAAAATAGAATATTTAATAATACACAGATATCATTTTTACTAAAAATCTGAAAAACATTTGGTACATTGCGTAACTTCTTCACTACCAAGTTATTTGCAAAAAACAAATGGCTTCCATAATTTGATTAACTATTGGTATGGGAAGTAATGTATTAATGCAGTTTGACAAAACAAAATATTAGCACTGATAGGAGCATATTCCCACCATTTAGTTTGCAGATTAGGTAAGTAAAAGTAACCAACAGACAGAAAAAGAGGAGCATTAAAATTTCTTTCTAGGGGCGGAGCCAAGCAACGGAGCTGAATGGCCGCATGCTGTCCGAGCTCCAGGCTGATAAGCACATTAACAAGCGAATAAAGAGGTCTCTTACACCCCAAAATCTGCCAAACCGACCCTGGAACAGACCCTCACAATATGGGGAGAAAAAACAAAAAGCCAAGACCAGAAAATTCAAGTATGGGCATGAATATTGGCGACTTATGGCGCAAGGCACAGAGTGGAGCAGAACCTAACATGGCCGACTACTCAGATGACTCCGAGATCTCTGAGAATTTCTCACTGGAAATACCAGAGGGTCAAGCACACGAGCAGAGAGCTCATAAACTTACCACCCCTCATCTAGACTCTAGACCCGGTGACGACGGCGATCATGAAAGGCCTGCTAGCGGAGCTCCAACATACAATCCAGGCCGACATGGCCCAGCTCCGAGGGGACCTGCAAGGCCCAACGACCCGCATGGGAGCTATAGAAAGCAACACCCAGAAAAACATCCAACAAACGACCCAACTCCAAAAGTCTGTGCAAGAGCTACAAACCCAACAAACAAAAATGGATAAAAAGTTTGCAGAGCTGGAAGATCAGAGGCGCAGGTCGAACCTCAAGATTAGGGTTATATCGGAGGGGATCACGGAGACAGAGCTGCCACACCTCCTACGGCGACTTCTTGCATTGCTGATAACCCCAAAGCAAGCTAAACAGGTTGGAGTGGAGGGGCTGTTCCACCTTCACAAACCAGTGAAAGCACCACCATCAGCACCGAGGGATCTCTTAGTGAAATTCCAAAGCTGCAAGGATAAACTAGCTCTCACAAATGCAGTCCGGAACAACTCACCATACCCCTTCGAAGGCATGCAACTGTCGTTCTATGCAGACCTGTCTGGGAGCACCATGTCGTGGAGAAGATCACTCAAGCCCTTCACGGTGCTACTCCGATCTAATGGCCTCACATACCAATGGCGACTGCAATGAGTGCTGGAGATACAACACGGCACCAACACTCATACCATCAGAGATCTCCGGGAGGCAACCAACCTATTACCAACGTTGGGGCTACTTATAGATGCCCTAGTAACAGCACGATCGAATATGACACCCTCCCTACCTCATGCCTGGAACCCGACAACAGCACGTCCCTTCATACCTCGGGGAGCACGACAAGATGACCGGGAAGCTGACACCACTTGAGCGCCCCAGTTTGCCTGCAGAGACAGGCATTAACTCTCCTCACGACAAGAGATGTTTTTTTTTTTCTTTCTTAGATGACTCTAAATATTCACTAATTTTATTTAATTATGTATGTTAACATTTCTCTCTCACATTGATGTTACCCTGCCATGCCATTAATGTCACTCTTAGATACTCCTCCACCGGGGGCACACGTACACCCCAGACCATACACACCATAGACTGACACGGTATAAAACTTGTGTAGACTTGGATCCGACAGGCCACCCACTGTAGACATGACCACAGGACCCACCATGGCCACTATGAATACACCCAGGCACAAAAAGGACCCATGTAAACCGCACCCGGACCATACCTCACACTAGCAAAGACCAGGGTACCCTTCTTCCCCTCCCTCCTTTTCCCCCTTTCATGTGGAGGGGTACTCAAAACGAGCCAACAGACCATCAGACCACATCCTCACTACATCGACCCAGAATATGCATTCTGTAAGACTAACAATCTTAAATACTCGGGGCCCCCCCATGTCAAGTCGAGATGTTGGCTAAAGGGGCCAAGTCACCCTGAGAACATCACCCCCACTCCTAAGGGATACTTCCCAGGGACACATGCTCACAAATCACAGAGATCACCAAAGAGATCCTGTGTACTAAACCTACAAACCTGTCACTGTTGACACCAATCACATGTTTATATTGTTTATGTTTTTAATATTTCTCTGAATGCATACATTTTTATACTCACATACTATGCTACGAAGGGGCAACCCAGATGCTACTCCCACGAGAAACAATACAAAGGCACACCTGACTAACTAGCAATGTTACGAAAGGCTTAAGTCTATACATCACTTTCACAATATAGCAAGCACAGAAAACAGGATGATCTCTTATTGCCTGAGCTTAAAGTTAACCTTATGTGTTACTCATTATTATTTTATGCTCAGCAAGACTCCACCTACATAACTCTTTTGGATCTCACTTTTACTCTACAGGTATACAACATTTTATTAGGAATACTCATATGATAGGCTAAGCTTGTTTGTGCGTCTCAAAAACAAAAAAAATGTGCATATACTCATGCCATACTCATACTCAGGCGTTTGATCCTGCAATGTACTTACCTGCACGACAAAAAAAAATTTTTTTTTTAAAAATTATTGAAATTTCTTTCTATATTTATATATAATATATGAATATATAAATACATTTTTTAACTGTTCCTCTTGGTTTTCCCTCTATTACCCATTTATCACTTTAACTGTAAAAATAAGTCCACATTTAGTGACTGTCCCCTATTATTTAATAATCTATTTTTTCCCATTAATCATCTTTTTCTTTTTTGTTGACATGGGTGAAATTCGGAACATTGACCCAACTCCTGAATATCTTCGGCATTGCATGGTTCAGTTAGTTCATAATTCATTATGTTTGGTCTCGGAATTCAGAAATTCGACAGAACACTTCATCAGAATGAATTCAGTCCAAAACAAATATCCAAATCTAATTTGAACCATTGAGCCCAGATTCTCAAAAGTGAGATCAGGGATCATGCACTGTATACATTTAACTGAAAAAGACACAACATTTTGTGGTGACATTAGCATGGTCTTGCTGACCTTTTTCATTGGGGGGGGTGGAGAATGATATGTCTACCACTCCTATTTTTAATTAGCCGGGGCCAGCAGGCAAATAGTTAACATTTTTTTTTACTCTAGACAGGGAGTTGAAGCCTCCGGGCCCAGACTGAATTCATCCTGGAAATAAAGCCTTTCAATGAAGTTTGGTCATTTGGACTTTAGTGAATAACCTTGCTAATATTTAATGGTGTTTTCTGTAGATAAATCATTTGAAATTATTTTATAACAGAATTGTGATCATTTCTGATGTTGATCCAAAAAAATTAAACCAAGTCCTATCTTATTCCCAGAGATACCAAAAATTGACACTTGCTAAAACGAACTATAGAAAACATATAATAATGGAAATGTCATCAAAATCTTGCAACCCATGGTTCATTTGTAACAAAACTGGCCTGATTTTTCCTTTAATGCAGTCCTTCATTTGGTCAAATTAACAACTGCAGGTTTCAGTCTCTGGATTTATGCAAATTGACAGAACGTGAGTAACTCCCTAAACATATGTTTCATGTCAATCTTTGACCTGCCTTTTAGTAGCTTGAATCCCCCTAACATGCATATGACCTTTTATTTGCTTTTTAATAGGACAAAATAAATCATGTTTTGGGGTCAGTAATATGAATGAATTTTAGATCAGTTTGGAAACTCACAGAGATTTTAAATTTATGTAAAAGCTGTGGAATGGGTCTAATCAAATGTCCTGAATTTTACCTTTCAATAAACATTTTACCGAACAGGATTTTGAGCAATGGTGTAGTGAGAGACTAGTATTTCTGAAAAGGAAATGATGGAGAAAAAATAAAGAGAAAAATGGTGGAGATATTGCCCGGACAGTACGCTCTATTGATACCAAGCTTCAATTATGGGTTTAAAAAGGGCCTTCAAAAGTCCATCATACATATAAAGATATAGAAGACCTTTTGGAACAATATTTAGGAGTTCATTAACTACATACAGTCTTGCTTATAATGAATTTTTTGTCCATGAGATTTAATAAAAATACAAAGTTCCAAACACACTGAACATACCTCACCATAGACTACTTCAAAAACCCAGGAGAAAATGTTCAGATTCTATGTAAGATTTGGTAGCTCTTCATTATTTTCTTGATTTCTGTATCCCTCAACATTCTGCTTTTCCTTGACATTTATTTTTTTCCTTCTCACTCTTATTCTGCAAATGTAACATTCTATCTGGGGTAGAAATGCTTTCATTGATATCCTTATTGCTAATTGCACAACGTGGAAGTGATCCAATTTATCTAGAAAATTTAGCACAGTCTGGATACGTTACATGCAACCATCGTTGGCATAGTCAGATGAGATTTACAATCTCTCTCAATGACACATAGCACCATACAACAGTGACATGGTTGATATACCCCATGTGAATTTTTCAACCAACACTCTTGTATTGAGCTGTAATGTGATAAATATTATTGCATGACTGATATTACATGGCAGCTGAGATAATTCATTCATTCGAGTTTAGTCGGGATCACTGAATTTTCTCCCTTCTTCCTGCAACATTAAAAGCTGGTGCCAGTTACCACCAACAGTGACAATGGCTATTTGAAGAAAATGAGGGAAAATGAGCGTTCTATGTGAATTCCCAGTCCTATTACAGAAGCATTGAACATGCGCATTAGCGCAATTGGCCTTGTTAATATTGCCATTCTAATGGAAACTGAAGGGAAAGAAGGAAACAGACAAAAAAAAAAAAACCTTACTGACCCATTGCAAATAGGTGATTTCAGTCAATAAGAATACTGCTAGAATTCAGAACAGTGACTTGTGATGATCAATTAAATGGTCTGTGTGCCTTGCTCCCCCAGCACACTCTTTTAACCGTGCAGCTGAAACACTCCTGTTCATTGCAGGATTAGCTTACCTCTAGTGGCTGTCATACTGTGGCAGCAGGGGCCTGGACACCTAAACAGTGACTAGGGCACTATAGCGTTAAGAATATACACATTTGTATACTAACGCTATAGTGTTTCTTTAAAGTTGGGAATAGTACAACAAGCTGCCATATACAACATTGAAAAAAATTACTTTTAGAGATAAAATGTATTATATTGTCGATTGGAATTTCAAAGTAAATGCACCTACAAAAAGCCCTTGTCATGCTGTATGTTTAGACACGCTGCAGGATTATGATCTGTAAAGCAGATGCATTTGGTTTGAAATCCCAAATATACAGCATGACAAGGAGTTTTCAAACCACATTTGGTATAAAGTTCTGATAAAGCAGTAGTCAGAGGTGGGCTATGAAAACAATTCTCAAGAACTGAATATTAGGGATGTGCATGGGCAACAAATTTGGTTCCGTTCGGTTCAGAAATTTGGGTAAGTAAAAAAATGTGTCTGCTTCGGCAGTTCGGACCAATGGCATTCAGTTCGGCACTTCCGAACTATCGAACTTTGGCAATTCGTAAGCATTCAAATGTCCAAATTGCATGAAACGAATTGCACATATATATTAAGTGGTTGTGGTGGCAGTCTGAGCACTGGCAGCTCTATACATGTGTAAGTGGTTGTTTTGGCAGTCAGGGCACTGGGAGCCCTACAGATGTGTAAGTAGTTGTGGTGGCAGTCCTGTCACTGGGAGCCCTATAGAATAGATGTATAAGTGGTTGTGGTGGCACTCCGGGCACTAGGAGCCCTATAGATGTGTAAGTGGTTGTGGTAGCAATTCTGGCACTGGGAGACCTATAGATGTGTAAGTGGTTGTGGTGGCAGTCCAGACACTGAGAGCTCTATCGATGTGTAAGTGGTTGTGTGGCAATTCTGGCACTGGGAGCCCTACAGATGTGTAAGTACTTGTAGTAGCAGTCCTGGCACTGGGAGCCCTAAAGAATAGATGTGTAAGTGGTTGTGGTTGCAGTCCGGGCACTAGGAGCCCTATAGATGTGTAAGTGGTTGTGGTGGCAATCCTAGCACTAGGAGCCCTATAGATGTGTAAGTGGTTGTGATGGCAATCCTGGCACTGGGAGACCTATAGATGTGTAAGTGGTTGTGGTGGCAATCCTAGCAATGGGAGCCCTATAGATGTGTAAGTGGTTGTGGTGGCAGTCTAGGCACTGGGAGCTCTATAGATGTGTAAGTGGTTGTGGTGGCAGTCCTGGGCAGGGGGTTTCCAGTGTCCGGACTGCCATCACATTTTAGAATGTTAGATCTAGAATACTATCACCAGGTCCATGACTAGTGGTGTGTAGCTTTATCTATTGCTGCAATCAATCAGTCAAGGACCAAGGTCAGATCTGAATTTCTCTCTGTGAAGCTGCATTCTCACAAACTAACTATACAAATCCTTGTGTCTGTCTCTAGCTGTCTGGTGACATCGTATAAACAAGTGGCACTGTTAATGGAGAACTTTAAAGACATATCGTTCCTTGCACAATGTGGACCAGACCAATAGCCCTTAAATACATAACACTATCAATTGAAGAATTAGTTTTTTTAAAGAAATAAATAAAATTTTAAGGTTCCTTTTCTGGCTTACCTTCTATGTGTCTTCTTCCTGTTCCTTTGTTTCTCCGGAAAGCTGATTAACTCTCGTCAGTCACCACCATCTGTCTTTTGTCTTACTTAATGCTTGTGCATTAGGTTTCATTCTCGCTCAGTCTCTTTACATATATTTACTTGTTTATACTTTACCTACTTATTGTTACATAATGCACGTTTGGAATGCCGTATATTTGGAAATTAAAAGTTCTTCAACACTTCAGCCTGGACCAGAGAAGTGTCTAGAAATAACAGCTTCTAATGTTACTAAGCAATGATCTGTCAGGGAACAGCAGCGTTCTTGGTACTGTAAACCCATCTGTCTACTTGTAAGGACCTAATTTAATTTCCATACTCAATGAATGGCTCTTATGGCAGTAGACTAACAATAATACAGAAGACCTTGAACACTATTTTAAATTTATTTATGTATATAAATAATTCGCAATGATTTATAGATAATATTGTTTTATTTTACATAGAAAAGTGTGTAAACTAAGGATGACCAAAGTTATGTCCCCAGCTGTTACATAACTTGTTGCTTTGATAGTTGTAGGACTGGCCAAGTATCATGGCAGTTGTAGTCCTGCGACAACTAGGGATCTGCTTTCTGATGACCTCTTCTTTGGACCTTTTGATTTCTGTTGAAAAGAAAGGAAATGGAAATTTTTTCAGCTTGGTATGAAAATAATTGTTGCAAAAAAAAATATTAGAACATATATTTTATGTAGCATTTAGTACTGAAAACTAACATTTTCTTTTCCATTTCATTTTTTTTTTTTCATGTTACTGCAAACTTTTCTCCCATGAACATAAACAAAAACGCTATTAAGGGTGGCTGGTAAGGAAATCTTCATTCTACTGATATGCACTTGGGTTAACACAAGATCTTTATTTATAGGGAATTCATCATGTGCACATAGTGCAGCTTAAAAGGAAGTACTGTATAATTTGCCGATAAGGTGAATTCAGCCTAAAATGATCAACAGCTTGACCTCTTAACCCTTTCTAGATCCGATAGATGGTTACCTTACTACAGTCTTTTGGAATCTGAAGTGGTAAATGAGCAGACACTTTTCTGTGAAGATGTTTAATTATCATATTAACGGCAATTGTTAATTATGCTAAACTTATTCGACACATAGGGTAATTTATGTTGTTCATATTGTACTAATTGGAGTGTTATCTTACTGAAAACATGTTGAAATTGAATTTTAAGAGGTCATGTGATTGTGTCATGATTGTGAATATTATGGAGTGCCCTCGTTAGTGCTTTAACCCATTAGTGACCTACGAGTTTAATAAATTGTAAAGCAATGTGCAGCAAATATATTTTTGCAGTTAATTTTTCATTTTAAAGTGGACTTGCAATCAACAAAACTTGTGCATGACAAGATCAGTTTTAAGTCTTGATTCATTTCTATCGTCCAAAAACAGTCAATAAATATCACTTGTTTTTCGGCCAATATGTTTATCGAATTTTGACTGTATTTAATGCCAGATAAAATTCTACCAGCCAAACCTTAAAATCTGGGTCGGCTACTCAACAAATATAATCCAATAAATGTCATATGTAAGCACATTTATCAGCCTTCTTTAATGATTAACCTTGTTAGTCATTAAAAATATAAATTAAATGAAATTAAATTAAATCCTATTTGGGTCTTATTAGTTCAAGGCAGGTATTAAACCTTGCCATGCCCCTACTACTTGCTAATGGCTGATCACTGTAATAAACGTCTAGCGACTGGGCAGCTATTGGGGGGTTTAATACAAGTCCCGCTGTTGCCTCAACTGTGTGCATCGAGCTTCAGATTCCCCATGGCCAGTGTTGGGGCTCCACTAAAATAAAAATCAAGGGAAGAAATCCAAGTGTCCCTCCCTGTTCCCACGATGGGGCAGATTAATATAATTATACACAGGGTGATTTAGCTGAAATTACATAAAGTGGGCTTTTCTTGCTATGCAAGCTCAGTCTGTGAGGAGCCCTTAATGGGCAACTTTTTATGTTATTTTTATGAATCACGCTTTTTTATTCATTAGTTTGTTGGTTTTGTCATACGGCCCTGTAAAACATAGGATTGGGTTGGTAGCTAGGGGCTTGAGAACCCCTGGTCACCAGAGCTAAGAAGAGTCCTCCAGCTCATGTTGATAAAGCTTATGTGCTAGACGCTAAACATGTCCAGTGTCCCCTTAGGTTTTGTTTTTTTTGTTGGGTCCTGACTGAGGTTTCCCATTTTTTGTTCATTTTTATTTATTATGGAACCAGGTGACCAGCACTATGGATCTGAATTCACATTGTGAGTAACATAGAGTACTGATTGAGCAACTTGTTCCATTTGTATATATTATGCTATTTGCATTCACCTGACTTCAAGGCCGGATTTACATGCCAGGTGCTGAAGGCACAGAATTCTGAGGTGCTCTCTGCTCCCCGTTACCCAATCCCCACCCCCCAAAAAGCAAGCAGATAAAGATAATTTAATACATTTATTAACTGGGCATATCTATCTGTCATTAATCATATTTAACAATTAAATATGCCTATATGTATGTGCATATTATTATTAGTATTATTTTTATACAGCGCCAACAAATTGCGCAGCGCTTTACAATAGGTGGACTAACAAACATGTAATTGTAACCAGACAAGTTTGACACACAGGAACAGAGGGGTTGAGGGCCCTGCTCAATGAGCTTACATGCTAGAGGGAGTGGGGTAAAGTGACACAAAAGGTAAAGATAGTATTAGGGAAGTAGATTTGTAGAATAGTATTCACTTAAGACTTTTTTTGTTTTGATTTTTAAATGACAGTTACAAGAGACGAATGGAGCCTTTGTGGAAGAGCCTTTGTGGAAAAGTGAGTGTTTAATAATTTTTTGAAGGAGTAGAGACTGGGTGAGTGTCTAACAGAAAAGGGAAGGGAGTTCCAAGGGTGCAGCCTTAGAGAAGACTTGAAGGTGAGCATCAGAGGTGGGAGTACGAACAGAGGATAGACATAAGTCTTCGGCAGAGTGTAGGGGCCTAGATGGGACATATTTGTGTATTAGGGAGAATAGATTGGTGGGAGTAGCATTATGTAGAGATTTGAAAGCAAGAACCAGCATTTTAAATTGAGGCTTACATCTTATGGGAAGCTAATGCAGGGACTCACAGAGGGGTGAGGTGTGGGAGGTGCAAGTGGACAGTAAGATGAGCTTCACTGCTGCATTCATTATAGACCATAATGGAGCAAGTTGGGAGCACGTAGTTTGAATCTGTGAGTATAGAGTATATGTAGCTGTGTAAATATAGGGAGGTTAGAGAGAGGCTAATTTCAGAGTTAGACTTCAAAAAAGCACATTATTAGGATTAAAAACAGGTGCCCCCTGGGGGGTTGAGCCTGACTGCCATACAGATCAGACATGCCCAGCTAGTGCTCCTGCGTCTGCACCTCAATATTAGGGATTATTCCCGGACCACTCGATTTTCCTGAACACAGTCAACACTCCTCTTGTTCTACGGACCTAGCTGCACCTGTTGATACCTTTTTGAAGTCTCCCTGATGCTAGACAGCCCACATTGGGGCTGCGGCCTACACAAGTCTGAGCCGTGGGAGACGCTCCCTCAGCATCTACCACAGGGGCCAAAGCACCACCACCACAGGTGGCGAACACCTGGAGCTTCCACCCTCTCCTAGCCAGGAAAGACTTGGATGCGATTTACTGAGTCAGTGGCGCAAAGGCGTGGGCCCGTAACAAGGCCTGGGGTGGGAGGAAAGCCTTAATCTGCTCCTGGCTTGCACCACAGCCTGACTGTCTTCATTGGTTCCCAAGTACTGGTGTCGACTAATGCAAGACTTACCTTCCAAGGAATGCTACCAGAGTCGTTGTGCAGACTCATAGATGACCGCGGACACCATTTGACACCTCTTTGCCTACACTTATCATCTCCTGTTGGAACTCTCTTACTGTTATGTATACTCTTATATAGCTATAATTTGGGGCAGTTCCATTAAGGATTACTTTGATCAGTGCAGAGACAGGTGAGAGCGGGGGTTTAAGTGGCACACCTATCGAGCTCATTTAGCCTGACACGTTACCTGTAACCTATGCATGGCCAGTTTTCTTACGTTAAATAGTCTAACTTCTCTCAGCATGCATACATTCTTTAACTAAACCTCTTTATACAAGTATAATCTTGTGCAAAACATGTGGAGCTGTAAACCTAAACTCCAGATCAGCACCGGTAACATTTATGCTGTTAGACTAGCCTGTTTCTTGAAGGCCTCATCTTTATGTTATTAAAAGCTCATTTACCTTAAATAGCATGCTATGCAGCACTTCAAGCAAGCTCAACATAACCTTATACAGCAGCATGTCACTCATTTCTTAAGTATGTTACCATCTCCTATTGAGACCACTCATATAGTCAGTTTGTGTAAACTGTTTTGACAACACTTCTGATCTCTCACCACTGACATACCTGTAATGTTTGTTCTACTATCTGTACATAACCTGATTCTACTAACTAAAAAATTGTGCTCTTATTGACTGTCATGACATTGTTTATCCTGTATTTACTCACTAGCTTGTACCAGTTGTTGTGACAAATCAAGCATGTTTGTAACTAAAAATAAAGATTGACAAAAATAATGTTAATCGAAGCGTAAACAAACCCCACAAAAAAACAGGTGCCCCCTTTTTTAAAGGTCCATTTTATAATTATGAATCATTTCTATTGGACTCCAACCTTACCAAATGAGTTCTAAAAGTAAGAAGTGGCCATGGTAGTTTAAGTAAATCTTTAACTATTCCTAAGCAGAGGACTAGGCATCTAATTCTGGTTAGAAGAAGATTATAGTGGATTTAGATATATTCTTGGGCCAGATGGATTAGGCATCCTCTCATCACATAGCGATAAGAACAAAGGGACAGGCCATCCCCTCATCGGGTTTTTATTGGGCTAGGAAAGCTGGTTACTTTTCACTACACCATACAAAGTCCACAAAGTAGACATGTGCGATTTGTTTTGTTTCCGAATGTA